TGGTAAAAGGTCATGGCGTCATCATCAGGGTTGGAAAACCTGTGTTCCAGACCCAGTGAAGGGGTGAGGAGGCCTATCCATCTCAGCACACTGGCCCATGGGGGTTCCCTCAAGTCAGATGAGAGGTTTTTATTTTAATTTTACACCAAGTTACTGACTTTAGATTTGTTGATTTTCTAATGCATGAAATACTTTATTTTTCTAAGCGGTTTCTAATATTAATTTATTAATTATTTATTTGCAGTACTATGAATCGAATCTATTCTACCACGGAGCTACATCCACAGCCTTATTTATTTATTTATTTATTTGAAAGGGGGTTCACTAAGTTGCTCAGGCTGGCCTCAAACTTTTGATCCTCCTACTTCAAGCTGCCTGAGTAGTGGGGGTTGTAGGTATGTACCATTGGGCCTGGTTGGTATTTATTTATTTAGGGACACCTATAAACATGGGCAGGGACAAAGGCATGAACACTTCACAGCCCACACCTAGGCATATTTACTCTCAGTAAACCCCTGTACAGGGATATTTGTGACCTTAGCCACAGGTCTAAGATAGCCTCTTCCTATATTAAAGTGGGAGACAATACCTGCTTTGTTCCTGTTGTAAGGCTGTTGTGAGGATTGAATGCATCAGTAATTCTCATTTTTTTCCAGCGGTTATCTAACAAGGACCTGTTTTATGCCACTGTCCTGCAAACTTTGGAGGTTCCAGTGGATAAGGTAGACAGGGACCCTGTCATCAAGGCACTTACATCATAGTCCATTTGTTCAGTTATAATCTTACCTGGAAATCCAGTACATAAAATAAATAAAAAGGAAAGGAGAGCAGGGGCTAAAGTTCTGCTTGCTTATCCCAATCCAAGGTGCCCAGTGGACTTTGGGAGATCTGTTTGAAAACTACATCAAGAAATATTTTCACACATGCAAGAGATACAAACTGAAAACTTGGTGACTCTCAAATTTGCAGATAATCTGCATGATAAGTCCTTGGTACTACAGAGATCCTTGTTGCTTGCAGGAATACCCACCTCCCAGATGTGCTGAGTAGTGGTTGCCAGAAGTTCAGGGCTGCCCCCTTTATCCAGATCTTGGGAACCTTCCTTTCCAGAGATGTTGCAGGACACCTCCCTTCCTTGCCTCAAAGTGGAACAACTCAGAGCTCATTGTTGACTTGCCTCTTTTTCTCTTTTCACTCCATGCAGGTTTCCCTGAGAATTCTCCCTTGTCAAAGCCTGTTTTCAAGAGCCCCCATCTTAGACTATGCTTCTAGGGGACACAACTGAAGACATGGGTATCTTATCATTTGTTCCRTATGATTGATAAAGGGTAAAAAACAAAGAGACAGATGGCTGATGATGTTACTGATTTCATCAATGCCCACTAATAAATTCCAACACCAAGATTCTCTACTATCTATTAACATTCTGCAAACTTTAAAGTACAAAGCAAATGAGAACCCTGTTTTAGTGGCCAGGAGAAACATGATCTGGAACAGAGCAACTGTCTTTGGGCATTTCTCCACCTTTCACTCAAGCCACTCAGGGAGCAGACAGAGTAATTTCAGGCTACTCTCTGCACTGGCCTCATCCAGATGTGTAGTGACATTGAGGATACTTCATTCTATCATTCATCAAGGGGCAAAGTAGGATTCTTATGAGAATGAGCAATGGGTGAGTTTCAGAACCTTAGAAAATTACCATTTCTTCTTTTTAAAAATCCACTTGTATATTTGAAAATGTGTGACTCCACTCCTATTTTACTTCCATGGGAAAAGACAGAAGCATGTAAAAAATCATTTTATCTTTCACAAATTGTTTTTTTTAAAGATAATTGTAGTGAAGACTGCCCAAAGCTATAATTTGTTCTTTGTCTGAAATAAAAGTTGTTCATATTGTAGCAGAAAATGTGGTATTTGCATTACTGTACTTTGCTAGCTCTTGAGGTTAGGGAAGATCACGTGCATAAGTAGGGAGTTTTGAGCACAGCATTTAGCAGAAGCTGAAAATCTTCTTGAACACATTTTTTTGAGATGTTTTGGGAGAAAAGTGTGAAAATGTGTATGAGTATATGTGGGCATGAATGTGTGTTACAGTTGGCTCTCCACATCTCATCTGTGGCTTCACCCAACCGAATTGAACATATTTTTAAAAATTGTGAATGTACTATAAATATACAGACTTTTCCTGTCATTGTTCCCTAACAATACTGTATAATAACTATTTACATAGCATATTAGGTCTTATAAGTAATCTAAAAATGTTTTAAAATATGAAAGGATGTGCATAGGTTATATGCAAATTCTATGCCATTTTAGATAAGGGACTTGAGTGTCTATGAATTTTGGTATATGTGGAGGGTCTTGGAACAAATCACCCTTGAATATTGAGGGACAACTGTATATGTGTGAGTGTATGTGTGCATAGACATATATGTGAGCATGTCTGAGTGCATTACATGAATTGTGACTACATATATGTGTGTGTAAACATGTGAATGCATGTAAGTGTATACGCAAAGAACTGAAGCCACCAAAACTCTAGCGTGACTGTGGAGTGCTCCAGCCTCACAGGGTGTCTCCACAGTATAGAGTGAGCTTCCTGGTTGTTTCTTGGGCAAGTAAACATCCTGAGATGGGGGTTCGTGGGTGATTTCTCATACAATCCAGCAAAGTTGCCGAGCTGGGATTCAAGGTGAAGTCTGCTTTTTCAAGTGCCACACTTCTGGAAAGACCTTTAGGATAGCTTTTATCTCTGAACTGTCAGCTAGGTATTTTCCTGAATTACTAATCTCATTGAAGAAAATTCTAGGCATTCTCATTAATCATTATGTGCATACTCATTGGTTAGAGTCCTGTCAAAAAACACAGGGAAGAGTTTGTCACAAGGTAGAGAGAATACAGTTTAATGGATAATTTTTATCACTTAAGGGCATAATTAAAACAAATGGTGCCAAGGCACCCAGAGGGGAAACCACAGAGAGGAGGTTTATATCCTAGGCTCGAAGGGAAAGGCAGGGAGTCATCACCAGTGAGATGGGTGTGAGAGAGAGCTGTGGCCAAAGMAGTGATTGCTGGTCTTAATGGCTTCAGCAGAGGGATGTGGCTATGCCAAACCAAAGCCAAGCAGGAAGAGGCCTGATCTCCTCACTCCTGACTCGCTTGAATATCCTGCACACACCTTCCACTTGTGAAAGGGACCAGGAGCTGAAGGCAAGGAAACTCCTAGGGATGCAGGTCCAAAACAGGTGTGAAAGGACAGAGAAGGTTGGAGAGCAGAGCTGGAGGGGAAAATGGAGCATAAAAGGAACATAAAGTGGTGAGTGAAGAGCCAAGTGAGCAAGTGCAAGAGTSTGAGGGAGACTAGAGGCTGGCTTTGTTTTTAGATCATTTTTTGTTGGTGCATTATAATTTTACATGTTAGTGGGTTTTTTGTTACATATACAAATATACATTCATGTATGCCATCATACATTCATGATGTCCTCCCCTATGTTTTCCTTTTTTCTCTCTAGTTTTCACCTTTGAAAGAAAACATAGGACCCTTGACTTTCTGAGTCTGGCTTATTTAGAGCTTATCTTTTCATCACAACCTGAGAGTTACTGTCTTCTATAGTGAAGATCAAATGAGAGTTTTAAAATAGTGTAGGAAAGTAAATCCTTACGCATGATATGGCTTTTACGCAACAGCAGCCTATCAACCAAACATCTAATGACTTGCAATGTCATCCTTGTTCCTTTCTCTGACAGGATCCTGTTAAAGGAAATGTGAACCCTGATCCTTAAGTCATTCAGCAACCTGGTCTCCTTGTCAGTGTAAACCATTTACTAATAGTATTAAAAGGACTTTGTAGAACATAAGCAGCAAAGAGGAGTGGCATCCTCCTATACTTCACTGCGTCCCATGTGAAAACATAACATACTGTCATCTCCGAGGCCAAAACAACTGGCGACTGTACAAAACAAGATAAACTGCAAAACATGATAGCACATAGCATCTGCTACTTAAATTGAGAAACCTAAGTCAGAGATTGATGTGTTTGGCAACTGAATAAACATCATGTGGTGTGTGTGTGTGTGTGTGTGTGTGTGATTTTAAACATTGAAAATGATAAATGATGAGGGATGGGTGGGTCCACTCCTGTGGTAGATTATTTCCTGCTCATCTCAGTTTCTACTATGGCGGGAGTGGATGGGTGGGGGGTGTACCTGTCAACCCAAGATGGAACGGGTGGGGCTCTTGTCACCTGGTCCTGGGAGCCTCCTTCTGCCTAGGCTGAGGACTCTGTGGGAATGCAGGTCCTGACTTGCTGTTCCTCTGAATCCCTCTGGGAGATTTCCAGTGAGAAGGGATGATAAATTTCATCCTAGTGATATAGTTCAAGTTCAACCACAAACTCCACTTAGAGTGAGAAAGAATTAAAAGAGAATCTTAGTCTTAAAAAGAAAAAAAAGTGTGAAAGAATAGGTTTTTGTTAAAAAAAAAATTGTGGATGTTTGAAAATACCAGCAAAAATGTGGGCAGAATATCTGATAAAGATTGTAGGAGGCTGGATGTAGCTCAGTGGTAGAGTGCTTGCATAGCCTGTATGGAGCCCCCTGTGTTTGATCCTCAACACCAAAAGAAAACAAAAACCAAAAATCGAACGAACACCACCCCTCCACCAAAAAAAAAAAAAAAAAAAAAAACACAAAAAACAGCCAAGTTATGCAAGACAAAAAGATCAAAAAGTTCTGTTTTGAACAGACTATTCCAGTTGAACTTTGTTTTTACAAGCTACTGTGTGTCTGTTCAAAGATGGTGCTTCTAAAGATATAAATAAGTGTTCAGGCTAGGATATAGGGGAAAGGGGCCTTAAGAGCTTGATATACTCGTTATTAAACAAACAAACCAGCAGAGCCTGTGACAGACACTGGGCAGGGTTCAAAGACAGTCCATTGGCCTTCCTCACTTTCATTTCTGGCAGCTCCTGTGGGGAGAGGGACATTCTCCTCCTGGTAACTGGGGCATGACAGAATGAGGTCCTCCATGTTCCTGAGAAAATATTTCAAAAGCCCATGCTAGTTTGTGTTCTGGGGCTTCAGAGCAAGTAATCAGTGAGTCCGCATGTTGATAACTTAAGACTTGTTGATTTTTTTCCCCTCTGATTGTGTAGATAATACATAGGTTGTTTTTGTTGTTGTTGTTGTTGTTGTTTTAATCAGAGATCTAAAGTGTCAGTTTTATTAATGAAAAACTGGATGGAAGAATCCTATTTGAGCTAAATGCCCAAACACTGCTTCTTCTTCTTCATTTTTTTTTTCCTCCTTTGAATTGAGTTAACTCACTTTACTACTGAGAATTGTCAAAGAGCCAGTGGAAACTTGTCTGGGGCTGCCAGAGAGGGAGGAGGCAGGGAGCTACTGCCTCTTGGCACAGGCAGGTGGGAAGAAAAGAGAGAGGACAGGCCTAGGAGGAGAAGGAGGTGCAGGGCCCTCCTGCCTTCCTGCCCACAATTATCGTCACACAGTTGCCCCACCATTAGAATAGAGGAGCACATGCCCCACTCCTCGCTGGCCACTCAATTCCTGCTTCTTTCCTGTAGCAGCCACATGCACACTATTATGTAACACTGGGCTTGGATGCCTGCTCTACCAACTATTGATCTTCAGTTTTTTTTTTCCCTCTATTGATCATATTTGTTGAACGGGGCCCCATAAAATTAGACTGATAAAAGACAGAAGGAGAGAAGCAAATTTATTAACATGTGCATCATGTGTATGCATGAGAATGCTTGATGGTGAGTAACTCAGAGGAATGGTTAGAACCTGAACTCACATGGTATCTTAGCAAAGAATAAGAATCTTGTAGAGAAGTAATAACCAAAGAATAAGGAGTTTGAACTTCTAGGGCAGGCAGATTGGGGGAAGGTAAATGTATGTGGAGGCTGATGGAAGATAACATTTGTTATACAGATTCTTCTGGGATTTCTCTGAGCAGATAAGAATTTAGAGTCTCTGGTGATTCAGGATTTCCTGCCGTTCCTGGTAGAGATGGGGAGGGCAAAGAATTTTTCTTGGGTCTGCTTCTACTTAATTGGCTTCTACTCAAAATAATCAATAGACCAAAGTGGCATATTTTGGAGTGGCATATTCTACAACTTCCTCTGAAGGAACTTTCTGGTTCCCTCATGTGTAAAAAGGAAATAAAATTAGTCCTTAGGCATTCTGAGGATTTCTTAGATAATCCATTCAAAGAACTCAGAACTGTGTCTAGCAAACAACATATGCTCAGTTCATGCTGCCTAACACCACTGCTGCTCCAGCTGATGAAATCGTTGGATTTTCCCAAGTTCCTTCCATCCTGGACTTGGGGGTGAGGGAGGCCCTGGGTATAGGCAGCTAAATAAGAAGTAGAAAAARAGAATTTATTAATAGAATCCTCTTCCTTCTAGAATTTCTTGGAGAYGGTGAGGCCAGTGGCAACAGCTGATTAGGAGACCATTCAGTAAGGATTAAGAATCAAATACACTGTGTCACTGAGGTAGTCTTAGGCCTGCAGATCTGTTGTGGGCAATGTGAAAACAAGAGGAAAATTAGGATGTATTTCAAAATGGAGTCTGGAGGCCATGAAGGGGGCAGGATTTATGCAGGCTCCAACTTCTCCCTGGGAATGTGAACTCTGGTCTCTTCCACCCTGTCTGGAACAACCAGAGCAAGTGGTCAATTGAACTGTACTCAGAGGCTTACGGTACATATCAGGAGATCACCAGACTCTTGTTTTGTGGCCTTTTCCATTTTGTTTGTACGTTCTTTTTTTTTCTGTAGCTTATGTAGCTCCTGTTTCTTCTCAACATTCACTAGCACACATGAGCTCCTACTTTTTCTGCCTTCCGCAGAATGCTGATTTAGAGCTTTCTGAATCTTTGTCACTTGAATCACAGTTCCTAAGACCTGAAATAAAGCCGTTTGGATGGATTCACTGTGATAGGTAAGAAAGAAATTATTCATCCGTGAACAGAGAGTAAAAAGTGAGGGAATAGCCACTGGAAGCTAGAATCAGTAAAACTGGGAACTTGAGCAGAGAGAAATGAGGGAGAGCAGCAGGATTTTGTAGGGAGAGAACTAAATGGAAAGAGTTAAGACCAGAGATCATGCAGCAAATTGCTGCCATCAAAAGCAAATATTTACCAGACTCTAGACGATAAGACAGTACGCCCATGGACTTTGAAAAATACTGTTTACGTGGAAAAAAAAAAAACATGTTGGATGAAAATTACAAGAAGCCATTGTTTTAGACAGGAGCCTTCTTTCACTAAGCCCCACAGACCAGACTAAAAACCAAAATGGAGTCACTTAGGCTGAGGTTCTTTAGTACCAAACAGAAATTGAATTGTAATCTGACCTTCCCGGAAATCAGGAGAAAGAACTCCAGAAAACTTCCTAAACCAGCTCATTTTGATTGACATGATAATCAAGTTTCCTCTTCTTTAATCCTTACACCTTCTAATCCTTATGAAAAGTAACCCTAGGCAATCTGATATTAACCTACCCATTAKTTTTCTATTGTCTATCTCTATGTCTATATTTCAAAGGGAAAGTAACTTTGAAATGACCATCTGATTTTGGTTTTTAGTTTCAGCTTTTCTCGGCCCTTTTCTGTCTAAAATCTAACCTCTTCTGCTCAGCCTATCAGAACACATATTCTATTCTATGGAATGAAGTGTTAGCTATTGCAGAAGCATAAAATAAAATCAATTAAGATTTTCAAACCAAGTCATTATAATTATACCCTTCAATAAAATTTGTTTGTATAGTGTGCTTACTACAGTTTTCCAGATTATATCTAAAGCTTTTATATTCTAAGTGGCTGACTGAGTAGGACATGCCTGATGAACCTGTGTTAAAGAGAAACATACAGGAGAAATTCTCCTTTATCTCTTGTGGCAAAGATCGTGCCATGACTTCAACAAACCATGAACTTTGAACTCCTAAGTACTTCAGAAAAAACATTGTCCAGTGTTCTCCCACGTAAGTGGGATCATGTGACTAATTCTAGCCAACAGAATATTGGTCAAAGTGATGAGCCACTAAAACTTTCCTGATCTTCTTCTCTCTCACCTTCCCTGCCAGGAAGCAGAGCACAGATGGAGGGAGCCTTGGTATCTGAGCCTTGGAAGAAGTTCACCTGCAGAGTTGTCCAACCAGCATGATACTGTTAAGTGGATGAGAAATAAAACAGTTGTGTAAAGTCACTGAAATTTTAGAGTCATTTGTTGTAGAAGCTAGTATTAATGATCCTGACTAACATAGCCTCAGACAGCAAAAATGACCAAAGTTGAACCTACTATTAGAGTAACTGGGGGAATTTTAGAGAAATAACAATTTCTTTTGCCTTAGGATTTTGGAAGGTTATTGTTACAGTGCAAATATAGACGTGTAATACRCTAAGCCTTCAAAATCCATGATGGCATTTGCAAGGGCCAGAAACACATGGAAATACACAGATTTATCCATTCAAACACATTTAGTAATGAATGAGTGCTTGAGAAGTGCTGGGCTGTGGGCTGAACACCAGATTACTGACAGTTTGTTGGATTGATAATTTGTAAAGGGCTTGTTTATTGATTTTTTTGAATCTAAATGGGAAAATTTCATTTTCTGGGGGAACTTCTGAACTAGTTTTTATTCTTTGGTCATACTGGGAAGCGCAGGAAAAGAAATTTCCACGTATGAACATTTGGAATCATTCTTTKCGGTACAAGTTGAGACTAACCTGTAGTTAAGAGAACCTGGCCTAGAAGAGAAGAGAATTAGGATATATAAGGGAGACATCTTATATATCCTAATTGGGGCATGGGAAAGCACTGTTTAATTTGCTTATGTTAAGATGGTTAAGATAGCCGGGTTTAGTGGCAAATGCCTGTAATTACAGTGGCTCGGGAGACTGAGGCTGGAGGATTGCAAGTTCAAAGCCAGCCTCAGCAATGGTGAGGCACTAAAGCAACACAGTGAGCTCCTATCTCTAAATAAAATACAAAATTGGGCTGAGGATGTGGCTTAGTAGTTGAGTGCTCCTTAGTTTAATCCCTGATGTTCTCCTGCCCCGCAAAAAAATGGCTAAGATAGCAGCCAGGATTCTGCTAGAAGGTCTCAATGTCTAGTAATTCCATTGTTTATTAAAACAAACAAAGCAATATGATTTCTGCAGAGACTTCTCCTATCTAAACAACTTTTTGGAAATTGTTCAGCTTGCTTAGTAATGGAGATTCTGAACTATAGGATGAAAGGTTTAAGAAGAATTTGAAAACATTATGTGAGCAAACTTCATATTTGTAGAAAGAGACAATCATCTTTAATGAATGGAATCACTTGAGCGGCCCCCTCCTAACTATGGAAAACTAAGACTAGGAAGTACTGGTGCCCTGGGGAAGGGCAACAGAACCTTTTGTATTTGATGAAGAGAGCCTCTTCCTTCATGAGGGAGGGGGATGGGGAGACCAATTGCCCAAGGAGATCAGCCCTTTCAAATAAGAAAGAAGATTGCCCAACACCTGCTCCCTGAGGGTAGATTTAGGAAGCCTGGCAGAATGAACTGAAGCCTGTTGGCAGGAGAGTTCAGCTYGGACCACAAAGCAGACCTTTCCAGGATGACAGGGGACTCTAAGCTCAGTGCAAGGATTTAAGGATTTAGGAAAATTTCTGGTTTCAGGGCCGTAGGTATTCAAAGCTGGAACCTGTCTAGATGACATACTTAACCTGGTGTTGTTTCTAGTCATTGCAGGAAAAATGGTAGGCATCTGAGTCTAGACAGGAGGGCTGAAATCTTGGAACTTTAACCCAGAACAGGGAACAAGTGATCATTAGAGGGAGCAGGGCCAAGGGTGACAGTGCCRCTAGTGGACTGATGAAAATTTCTAATTCTCACGCTGTCTTTCATCACTTGATTCTTAAAAGGTCCTGTGTTGTCAGACAATTGGGTATCTGTCTCGTGGGAGGAGCCAGTGTTTGAGAGTCATTAGGGACATGAATTGCACGGAAAAACTGGAGCAATTAAATAACAGGAAAAAAAAAGATATCACATATTTTTATCTGGAATAATTCATGGGAAGTCATACTATATTGTCCTTGAGTGTCCGTCTCTAAATTGGTGGGGTGGGAGGTAAATCCCTGAATACATAGATTAAGGCAATATAGGACTTGCAGCTGTGGTGAAACAGTTAAATGAATTGGGCACAGAATGTTTGGCTGCCTTTTCAACTTGGTCTGACTTGACCATGTGATGGTGATGAATAAAACATTACCAGAACAATGAGCTCTATTAACAAATCCAAGCAGTTTTGAGTTCTGCTAAAAGAGAAATCAAAGGATTCACATTGCAACACTGACTTAGAGCAGAAAACCAATTAATCTAAAACAGGTTTCTCAAAACTGTTTATCATATAGAACTGTCTGTGTACATGTGTGTATATATGTGTGTGTGTTACTGGGAATTAAACCCCGGGGCCTTGTGCATGCTAGGCAAGTGCTCTACCGTTGAGCTATAGCCTCAGTCCTTTTTAAATTTTTTTTGAGATATGGTTTCACTACATTGCAAGACTCACMTTGAACTTGCAATCCTGCTCCAGCTGTCTGAGTACCTGGGATTAAAAGCATGTGCCACCACATCTGGCTATAGATTTCTTTTAAGGGAAAATAGTTTACAAATTTCTACTGCTGACTTAAATTACTTTTACTATGATATTCTCTCCCCCCCCCTTTTTTTTGTACTCAGTTTCTTGGATTTTGAGTTTCTGTTTTACTCAGCCACTATTTCTTCCAATATATTTTCTCTCCCCATCCCACCCCAGTTAATCTAACAACACTGTATTACTAGATTGTTTCATAATTCACATATACTTTGATGTCTTTTCTTTCAYTTTTGTTCTTTTCTGGGACAACTGTCCTCCACAGTCTGATAACTGATGTCTTCAAATCCTTGTTTTATATATTTTTCATGTTATTAATTTTTTTTCAAAAGAGTATAAAATTTGTCCATTATAATACAGCCTAGTGAAAGATGAACCAAAAAGAATCACTTCTAAATCTTCTCTCAAAAGAGGGAGAAATCTTGTCTCTCCCAGGAATCCTTTGGAAATGTCTTCTCAGGCTCATGGAGCACTAATGATCATGTGTTCATCCCAAATCTATCACTSTGTCAAGGAGATGGGATTGTGTGTGATTTTAAAGCCAGTCTTGAGCCACCTGCCCCACTGCTAGAGACAAGTGGAGGCAGCTTCTCAAATCAGAGTTTCTCAAACTCAGCAGYTGAGACATATGGGTTGGGTATTTTGTTATGGTAACCGGGACACTTTCCTGTGCTTTGGAGGCTATTTAGTATCATCTTGTTCTCTACCTACAAGTTTAAGAAACCCTCTATACCAATTGCRATGACTGACATTGTCAAATATCCCTGGGATGGGAGAAAATGGCTTCTGAGTGAGAACCCCTGCCCTAAAAGCATAGGACCCATGAGGACGTGTGGATACCCAGGGGAATGTTACGAAGGGAAGGAGAGGCAACCAGGGTCTATTGTGATATACAGTCATCAAATTTTACAACCAAAAGATTAACAAACAAATCATTTAGATAGATAGTTGAGGAACTGCATAATCCTTAGGTAYTAATAATAAGCAATTTATAGATTAATAGGAGACTCACACTAGGTAGTATACAAAGACCTGTAAATTATAAAACCCTAAGACACGTAGCATGGATGTGCTATTATTTATGTACCATTAGCTCAAATATGTATTTTTATTTCTCTTGCAATATTTTTAGATTTACATAACATCAGCAACTGGACCCAATTTGTTTCCTGCTATAATTAGGGTAGATAACAGTGAACAGAGAACCTGATAGATTTAGGGGAACTGAAAGACCATCCAAGCTTTCATTATTTTGTGATGTGCCACACTGAGCTTAAATAACAGAGAGGATGTTCTCTCAGATACTACYAATACAGGGACCTGGCAGGAATATTGTGAGATATTCTTGAGATATTGTGAGATTGCTGAGGCCCTGAGAAGCTTGCCCACCAGYCTTCTCTCTGATATTAAGCTCACTGAGGATGAATAAAGAGTTAAATGTCAGCTGTTTTCTCTGTAGCTTTTTAAGTTCAATGGAAACATCATTAGTACCCATCTATAACTTACTTTTAAACTTTTGTCTTCTGAATAAAACTATTATATGTAGAGCTCTTAGTCTACAAAAGCACTTTTAAAACCATGATCTTCTTCAAAGTGCAAAATCCTTGTGAGTTGGTTATTATTATTTCCCCTGTAGAGTTGTGGAAACTGTGTCTCAAAGGCTTTATAACAACTTACTTGAGGCCACACAGGTGGTAACTGAACAAACTGGACTTTGATACCAGATCAGAGCCTTTTCATTCTAAGTTCCATTTTCTCTCTTTAATCCACTTCTTTAGGTTCCTAGCTCATAGAAAATTCTTTCTAAATTAAAGAGCAGGGGCATTTGCTATTTGCCCAATTTGCTAGTAGCACTTGGGGTCTTGAGATGTTCCAGTGTAAACTTTATTGTGAGTACTTGGGCACTACAAATAATAAYTGCATCTGACTAGCATAGATAGGTAGCCTATGACTAAAACTTTGTGAGTGATTCTTATGTAAATCACTTGCTTCTAACCCTCTCTGGCCACCAAGTYCTGACTTGGAGACTAACACTGCTTCATCACAGACCCTGGTGGATTTTTAAGCACAGGAAAAAGCTTTGCTATTTAAAGGGTGGTCATTGGACCAGAAGTGTTGGTATTACCTAAACATTTGTTGGGAATTAAGAATTTCAGGACACACCCCAAACTTACTTACTCTGAGTCTACATTTTAACAAGACCCCTGTGTGATYCATATACACATTAAAGTTGGAAAAGCACTATACTAGATCTARGTGCCCTTGTGTCTTCTCAAAGTCCCCTCCACTCTAGTGGTACTTTAACCCAGTACCAGATGAGCTGGGCTATTTTGATAGTTCCAACAGGGTGTGCCTAACCAGTCAGCAACATCATGGACATTGTTAAGGCTGTAACAGATCATGTCCACAGACAAGATCTGCCTTGAACTCTTCACACCATGAAGTCATGCAAAGGGATTTATCTCTTAGATTACGCTTCCAGGAGTATGACTGCATTGACAGACACAGGCTAAACATGCAAA